TGACCGTTGAACACCGCGCGTTTCGTGACTCGTCCATGTGCAATCGAAACTTGTGACTTGTCCATGTGACTCGTCCACGCTTTCCACCTATACTTGGCTGCTAAATGATTTGTTCCCTTTGCTTCACTGCTTCCCGAAGAAACACCAGCGAAGCAAACCAAACACTTTGTGATCTCCCGAGCTTTGCAAGCTGTGTCAGTCTGCTGAGCTCAGGGGGGTGTCACTCGCCAGGACTGGCAGACCTCTCCAGACCTGCCACAGGCGGGTCACGCGTCCGGAAGGGTCGCGAAAAACGCGGGCGGCGAGAGGTTGGACCCGGCTCATCCCGGTTCGAGGTTGGACTTCGGGCGGGTCTGAAGTGGTGAACCCGCCTGTAGTTGTGGAATGTGGTGGGAAAGTCCTGGCGACTTCGGCCGGCAACGCTGTGAAGTTGATGTGTTTCTGTTTTCCTTCACTGGGTGGAGGGAGTGAAGTAATCGATGGCACTAGGAAGTGGTTACGCAAGTAGGAAGCAACTAATTCCAGTGAGGAGGGGGGTTCAATACAAAAAACATACCCCATCTCAAAGCTGGAAGACCTTAAAAGGGCGATTGCTCTGAAAAGACATCAAAACTTCTTGATGCGAAACCTGAAGGGGACCAAGGGACACCAACCTTAACCTTTGGCGAAAAATACACTTCCACCCATGTGTGGCACTGTGGGTGGATGACCCCAACCCAAGCCATCTTGGGTAATGTCAACCTAGGATTAACCAACCCCCCCATATTAATCAAGCCCAGCTGGAGCCTCCAATATTAAACTAATTTGATCTCTTATCAGGGGGAGGTTCCTTTCCAGAAACCCTCCAGAACCCCCCCTATTAATCAAGCCCACCTCCCCGAGACAAAAAATATAATTGCTTTTTGTTTATTTTAATTATTGTGATGCCAATACACTCAGAGCTCTCTTGGTTCTCATGGTTCAATCTCTCATGATCCATCATCTCATCTCATCATCCATGGTCCAGGTCCTCATCTCATCATCCATCATCAGGTCATCATCTTTATTACGGGGATGTGGTCTCCCAAACCTTCCATCAAAAATCTTGTTGACCTTGTTGACCTTGTAGGGGGGTTGATCAATCCCACGTCGACATTATCAACCACCCTCCTCGACCGACCATACAGGAGCCAATGCTGATTTCTTTGGATGACATGGATGCGCTGGTGCCTGTCCCAGGCTGACTCAGAAACATTCCTAGCACTTCCGGTGCCCTGTCTGGAGACCTGTTTACGTAGGGTAGGGTAGTCTAGCCAGGACAGCCAGACAGGATGATCCTGGTGTATAACATATCTTTTTCGGTCTCCGTGCCGCTGCCGAGGCCAGCCCGGGCACCACGCTGGCTCCGGCAGATTGTGAACCCCTCCCGTCGGCCCAGAGCAGCGAGCAGGCGTACACGAGGCTGCTTGAACGTCTGCGACCGCGCGGCGCCAAAGTACGAGCAAAACGCCTTTTTGTTTTGTGGCCTGTAGGATCTTGAAGTGGCCCGTCCACAGCCTTTAGCGGCAACTTGATCCAAGGATTTGAGTGGTTTGGCCTATGAGTCTATGAGTTCTAGTTTGGTCAATAAAACCTGCTCTCTCTCTCTATATATATAGAGTTACTTAATATATATATAATATAATACAAATGACGCAATACTCATTACCCATCATTTGGTCCTGTCAAGACATCGGCTCATGATAGTGGCCATGACCCCACGACCATCCACTTGAAAGCCAAAAAAACGAGGCAACACACCTTGTGCCCATCCGTGGCCAGGTCCGGCAGGCGGAGACCACAGGCTGGAACCGGGCTGCCGACACATGCAATGCTGATGAACGATGTGTGGCTGCACCAATTTGGTGACGAAGAAACCATGAGTTGAGAAGAAGATCGGGTGATTTCGAGTCAACGCTCTTCATATCGCTTCTATTCGTATAGAAAAGGACCATCTCCAGGCGCTCGAACCACGAAATGCACGACCGGTGGGCTGCGAAACGCTCGATCGAGGATCGCCAGCAGCGGCGCCGCTGCGGCGCTCGGCTCTTGGAACACTCCAGTGTTCCTCCCGTGCGGGGGTGCCTGGGGTAGACGTATGTCGCGTGGTTTCACGGCTGGATGCAGAGGAGCCTTAAAGACATTTCAAGACTGGTACTTCCGTCCGACTCGGGAAGAGCTGGCCGCAGCTGGCCTGACACTGGATCTTTGATGAAGAAGTAGTTTGCCAAGAGTCTGCCCAGACCACCAAGTACTCCAACATTCACGCGCGAGTGCGATAGACTTGCGCGGTGGCCATGCCTCCCTGGACGGCTCAGGCCATGCCTCAACAGCACGACAGCTGCCTTGGATATGAGCAGAGTAAGAACCAAGGCTGCCGAATGGCTGGGAGGTTCGCTGTTCAACTCTGTTTAAGATGTGGGAGTCCTTCAAAGCTGTGGCTTGTGCGTTTAGCTTCGTTTCTAGGAAGAGGGTTTGGAAATGTTTGGAGCTCGCAGGGATTCAGGAACTTGAGCAAGACCTGCTTTGTGTGGCTGCATTACAAGTACAATGTCCACACAGCTCTTGTGCAAAACGCGAGCCGCCAGAGTTCTAGAGGGTAGGGGTCCTCAAACACTGCCTCAACAATTCCTTCCGAAGAGCTAAGATCTATAACTATAATAACTATAACGCGCTTCTACTGTTAAGATCTGACAAGCACAGATATGCAACATATCTGCTGAACATCGAAAGCCTGGAGGTTTTACGTACATCCAAAGACTTGTAGTATTGTGACCACAATTGACCCCATTGCAGTCGCTCAATTTGATTCTTTTGATTTTGCTATTGGTCCTTGAAATTGCAGAGTGCTCAGCCACACATGATATCCTTGAAAGCAAATGACATACAGCGACATGTTGTATCACCTTTCACTGAATTTGTTCTTCAAGGATTCACTCTCCATAGCTTTATAGACAACCTGGTGTCAGCAACAACAAGGCTTCTTTCCCTTGACCGGCTTCCTTTCTACCTTTAGCTGATCGATTCCACATCAATACTACATAAGACCGCCGCCGTTCGCCGGCCACCGCTCGGGCATCCTGGGGCATCCCTCGGTGCCCGACCGCCCCGCAGATACAACTGGGAATCCGTTGCTCCAGTATGCACCCACGCTGCAAAGGCCGCGAGGCGGAGCGATAGCTGCTATAGTGCAGACGCGTCAGGACCAAATGGTTGTTTTGCGGTAGTGGTAGTATTCAGGAGGGATAGTCCAGAGCAATTGCAAACATTTAACTACTAGTTGTTGTACTCTCCATTAAGTGTTCATCAATGCTTGTCCTATTCCTGGTCTTTGTTGAGCCTGAACTCTTCTGATAATACTTTTTTTTTTTTCCCAGAGGTCCTTTTTGAAGATGATGTAGTGTAGTATAGTGTAGTTGTCCAACCTACTGTGTTCAGCTAAGCTGAGATGGTGTTTTGACATCTCGTGCAAGGTTTTCCTAAGGTCTTCCCACGAGAAGAAGACTTCCACTTGCAGAGAGAGACCTCCAAAAGTTGTTGAACACTTGCTCAAAGTGAAGTTGCCCCGAAGCCTTTGAACATTCAAATAAATTCAAATAATCAACAGCAAGTGAACATTCAAGTGAGCCAAACCACTTGTACAGGTATTGTGACATGTGTGGTTGCCATTTGTTGCACCAAGATTGCACCAAGAGCATCTAGAGATTTGAGATTTGAATAGATTTGAGGGATATTGTACTTCAGTGCTGATGACTTTGCTAAGACGTTGCACAGGCAAAGACTGGCCCAGAGTGTGTCATGTCCTCAGAGCACGGTGGTCATCGCGGTTGCACAATGTACCACGCAGATTTGTCAATGTCCGTATCTCCAAAGATCAGCAGTTCAACGGAACTGCCTCATACTTGATGAATGACTCATTGGCTCATGTCATGAGCGGGAAGAACTACCATGGGAAAAAAAAAACATATTTCCTGCAGAAAAACGCTTCCTGGAACTCCCATGGTTGACGTGGATGGCACATGGATGCAAATGACGGGTCTTCCGTGAGGGTTCACAGACTCCTTCATGACCAAAATACAAAACATACCATCCCTGGAATCTGGAACCAACACACACACATATATATATATATAATATAGCTGCCGACCCAACCATCGAATTGGGTCGAAATACCATGGTTTCAGATGAAAACCGGCACCCCATGATGTCGCGCTATATAGGGGGTCCACTACTAAACCACCCAACTTGGGAGAAACACATATGCCGCCATTGAACCTCTTAAACGTTTGCTTCCACCTCCACCGAGTCCTCTCCACTTGGAAGCAGCGACGGACAGAAGGTGCAGCAGGGTTCACCGGGCGCTGACTCGCGGGTTCGCGAGTCCTTTACACTCCCGAGTTTACTCACATGGACCCGGGTCGAATGGCACCCTGAAAGACTGGTGTCCTCGGTTGGTTTTCAGGGTCCAGTTTTCAGCGGGGTGTGGCACCGAGTGGAGGCCAATGGACTTTGAATAACAATTTGTTGGCAACCCAGGAATAGTCCAAACAGGTCCAAACTATCCAGTAGACCATTTTCCCGCTGAGAATTCTTGGTTTGGCGACGGTGTCTTTGCTACTGGAGTGGGGGATATCCATGTAGATATCCCAAGCTATCCAAGCAGGGCCAGTTCAGCTGACCCGACCTCAAAGCCATCGACGCGACCAGCTGCCGCATGTCTCGCGGCTCGTTGAAAGACGGGACCCGAAAGACGTCGGGACCCCCCCATCCGGTGTAGTTCTTTGGCGGTTAGGAATGATCACCCCTGGATTTGAGCCACAAGGATCTTTGACATGCTACCTTGAGCTCCAAAACTATCCCCAAGGCAGTGTGCACAGAGGTCGGTGACCGCCCTTAACTGTAAATCCAAAGTTCTCTCCAAGAAGACACATCACTTTGGGCTTTTGCCCACCCGAAAGCAAGGCTCGTTGAGCTCGTTGCAGGTACGAGTAGAATTGTGCTCGAGCACCAGAAGGTCTAAAGATAGCTCGGATCCTGGAGGGCCTGGAACGGCCCGGAAGGGCCCGGAAGGGTGCAAGGGATTCGTGGCGAACCTTGGCAGAAGGATTCTTCCACTGTGAAATCATGTGAGATCCCTCTATCCCCGACAACATTTCATGGTCTTTGTAGAGTTTGAAGACTGATGGACTTTTGTGTTTTTTTTTTGGTATGTTTAGAAGCTAGACTCAATGTATGTCCTGGATTTGTGAGGTTTCTTGCCCTACTTGTACCTACGAGCAACCGTCTTGAGGATCAATGCCCTTCGGGATGTTTCTTTTGCGGAGCTGTGCTACGTGAATCAGCGTTTGGAATCAGCGTCGAGCTACCAGAATCAGCGTCAAGAATCCATTCAGGGGGGCTGAATCTGATTCTGCTCACTTCTGGCGCACAGAATGCACCTGGAATCAGCGCAGCCTGCCTGATATCTGCATCAGCCTTTGACTTCTAGAATCAGTGTACATTAGGGTTTGTAATGGTTTACATATCAGCACCACCCAAAGGGTGGGTTCTAGACCCCCCTTGAAGAGGTATTTTCCATCTAATAACCACCCGAACTGGGTGGTGCTGCCTCTTTGTGGCTTTATCAGACCTGGCTCGGATGCAAGCTGACCCAATTTGTTGGGCTGGGACGATGAGACGTCTTCAGCTGGGTCGGATCGTCGAATCGGGTGGTCGAAGCGAGTGTCGGATCGTCGCACTTGGGACCGGCTGTGCTTGGCTTGGAATGCTTGGGGATAGTCCGGATTTCTAGGCCCCTAGGCCTGGGTTGGCTTGGGATTATACTTAGAAACATCTTGGACACTATGAAGACGTTTTTGGGATGGCTCTTGTCAGTCGAAACGTTGTCAGTCGATTCCGATTCGGATTCGGGCAACGCACTCCGACTCGATCCAACGAATCCGATTCGATCCGCGCGCCCAGCTTTTCCAACCCCCGGCACGTTTGCCCATCGACATCGGACATCGGCATTCTGAGATTGAAATATCCTGAAGACTTACTGAGTGTTGGCAGTCGGCAGGATTGCCCGTGCTTGCTCGCTGGAGCTGCCCAAAGTGTCACTGAAACAACCGGCAATGTGTGACATGTTGTTTTGAATTCTCTCGTTCTTTGGATCAATTCGCAGCTTATTGGCTCATTGTGTTGTTCATCAATTTTTGGTAGCTCCAGCTGCTTAGAGAACAAGATGACAGATCGGTGCCGCCTAACTGGTGCCTACGTGAGCTGATGCTTGTGGCTTTTGGTTTGGGGTCCCTACAGTGTCCATGGCTGTTTGCGAAAGGGTTGACTAGCAGTGGTTGTTGCTGTTTCTTTTATTGTTGTTTCTTTTAAACAAGCCACGCAGGTACAGTCGGGCCCGATGGTTTCTGACTGCCATTCATGTTCTTGTGGCGGCAGGCCCTAAGGTATCCACTGGGTGGTACCTTGTAATTACATGAGACACGGTCAAAAATACTGGGTCAGAGTTTGTGGGAACAATCA